GAAGCCTAATACCAGGAAGGAAGTACATTGTATGTGTTTATTTTTTTTTTTAATGACAGTGGGAAGTCCCCAAGAGGAAGAGAAGAGAATGACATAGCTGCACAATTACTCACGAGAAAAAGATACTTGGTCTCCTCGGCAATCAGACACACTTCCGCAAATAAAATAACATTACAAAAGCGGGACAATGTACTAGGGGTCCCAATTAGGATTCGAGGCCTCAGTGTTGGAGAGCTTAAGGCCGCTTGAGATTCTCTCTCTCCCTCTCTCTCTGCCCCCCCCCCATAATAATGATGATGATAATAGTAAATAAAAACCAAGGAAATTACTGGGAGATAGACTGAGTACGTGTCGTTTAAAATACCTCATGTCATTTAAAATACTCATGTCATTTAAAATACCAAGTCCCTGTGAAGTCAGAGAAGAAATGCAGTTTTTTAAGTTTATTTATTTTGAGAGAGAGAGAGAGGGAGAGAGAAGAAATCCCAAGCAGGCTCTGAGCTGTCAGCACAGAGACTGACACGGGCCTCGATCCCATGAACCGTGAGATCACGACCTGAGCCGAAATCAAGAGCCGGACGCTCATCTGACTGAGCCCCCCAGGCTCCCCAGAGAAGACATGATTAAGGTACACGGATAGACCCATACGACACGGGAAAAGGAGAAAGAGTGCCTGCCACCACTGTGCTCCGATCACCTCCTATTCACCCTAGGCGCCTGGGTGGCTCAGTCGGTTAAGCATCCGACTTCGGCTCAAGTCGTGATCTCACGGTTCGTGGGTTCGATCCCCAGGTCGGGCTCCATGGTGACAGCTCGGAGCCTGGAGCAAACTAAAGAAATTACTAACGAGCTATTTCCCTTCATTTTTTTTGTGCCAAGTCTTCAGACATCTGATGTGCCTTTACCCACTCACTGTACACGTCCTCTCAGTCCCGTCATCCCTCCGGGCTCTGTAGTGGCCGTTCCCACGGCTGCTGCATCGGACAGAGCAGATCCGAGCATTTCACAAAAAGGACGTGTCTATCGCGTGTGAACTATGAAAACCCTGTATGAATAACACGCATGCAAATAACATCCCATCCTAGATCCATTTATATAAAATTCAAAGTGAGGAAAAACTAAACAACGTGTTGCTTAAAGTTCCTTCCCAGCACACCAACAAACCAACAGTTCATCTGTATTACGAATTTGCACACGGCGTGAAAATGAACGACGTGTCCCCTATTTCTGACAGGAAGAGATGCCTCTGGGATATTAAAGCAAATTAGGGTACAGTGTGTCCATCATAGGATCTCAAACTCTGTGTGTGGGGGGGGGGGGGGGGGGACGGGAAGGAAGAGACTTGCAGGACACAGGTCAAACAATACGGTCACAGGGGTGACCTCTCGAATGTAGGAACGGGAAGGACGGACAGGAGGAAAGATTCTCACTCTTTATTCTGTTTATGTGCACATCACTTAATCTTTTCTGCTCGTTTGTGTTGTTTATACTCGAAGGAAAATCACGGTAAATTCCTTAAGGTCATCCAGACTCTGTCTCTCGCGCCCCCTCCCCCTGCAAGATAGCAGGTTCCGTGGGCCTGGCTGGGACCGTGGACAGCCAAGCTGGTGGGGACAGGTTCCCGGTCTCCTGCTCAGCCATCCCCCACCCCCGTCCCCACACCACCCCAGGAATTGGGTTCCTTTTGGAGCCAGACAGAAAACTGAGAGCCACAGACACCTAAAAAATTCAGATAATTCTTCTCTGAGGGTCACCTAAATATCAGACACCAAGCCGGCGTAGAGAAAGAAAAGTTGGGTGATACAGTTCCTGCCGAGGGGAGCCAGCTCTGGACACGGTACAGGAGGGGCGCGGGAGACCCCCGCTTTCGCACAGACGGTGGGGAGGACGAGGGAGAGCGAGACCCGGGGGGAGGGGCTCTGTGATCTGCAGAGAAAGGCTGGGCTCGGTGCTCCAGGCTCCATACTGGGTGACCTTGGGCGTGTCCCCCCCCCCCCCCCCCCCAGGTCTCTGTTCTCTCCTCTGAAAATGAGAACAGCTCCTGGAAAGGATGGGGCTGAAGGGAAGGAAGAAGGCAGAGCATGGGGCACAGCGACGGAGTCTGTCCTGAGGCCGCCAGGAGAAACCACCTGTCCGGGGCCAGCGGCAGCCCCCGCAGGAAGAAGACTCGGACAGGACTCCAACCCCCCTGCGACTGCAGCCCCCCAGAGCCTGAGTGACAGGCACCTGTGGTTGAGCCCAGCCAGCCCCCAGAAAGGATTTTTGTTGTCTTCCGCCCCATCGTTTTGGATGGTTGATTACAGGATAAGGGATGTAGCTTTAAATACACACTGGAAAGAAATAAAATGTGACAACGCAGAGATGTAAGTAGGGGTGGGGGACAGCAGCGGACAATTACAACAGGGACGTAGGGAGAGGTGGGGGGGTGCTGAGGACCCGGTTGTTAATGAGCAGCCCCCGTTGGGCTCCAGCCACGTTCCCGTGTGAGAACACAGGGCCCAATGTTCCCACAGTTCGACATTTTTCAGGTGAAAACAGAAACGCAGGGGTGCCTGGGTGGCTCAGTCCGTTGAGCGTCCGACTTCAGCTCAGGTCACGATCTCACAGTTCGTGGGTTCGAGCCCCGCATTGGGCTCTGTGCGGACAGCTCAGAGCCTGGAGCCTGCTTTGGATTCTGTGTCTCCCTCTCTCTCTGCCCCTCCCTTGCTCTCTCTCTTACTCTCTATCTCAAAAATAAACATTAAAAAAAAACACAGAAATCCAGACATTTATGAAAAATATCCACATTTTGAAATGTTAACAAATGGTTTCAAACCATTCTAAACCTGATCGAGACAATACTGCGTGTTTGAATTTGGCCTTCAGGCCACCAGCTGTCAGTCTCTCGTGAGGCAAACTGGAATGACTACTGTCTGCCTGGCACCTTCTTTTCTGGGGGACCCCCCCTCGCCCCACCCACATGGCCGTAATACAGCTCCCGGACCTCTCGGTCACTGTTGGTGGGTCCAGGAGGGGGCCTCTGACCCACGATGGTTTCATCAGAGTTCTTACCTGGAATGTCTTAAGCAAAACTGAGAAGATCCTTCGTCCCCACCGTGGAAGAAAACACAAGAAAGGCAGGTCGGGAAACACTGTAGTGGTGACCTCCGTGTGCCAGCAGTCACTTTCCTACGACAAAGATGTCCCAAACAGAAGCAGAGAGAGTCCGAAGGGCAGCTGAGTCCTGCCCGGGGTTGGGGGCTGATTCTTCTCCTTGTTGGGGAGAAACCCCCATACGTGGGGGAGGAGACCCTACGTAGCCCACAGGAGAATGTCATCACAGGTGCTCTGTGCAAACTTGCCGGAAGGAGCAAGCCAGGCGCCCCCCAGAGTGTTCTTTTTGTCTGTTTGTTTAATGTTGATTTATATTTGAGAGAGAGAGACAGAGAGAGAATGCGCAAGCAGGGGAGGGGCAGAGAGGGAGACACAGAATCCGAAGCGGGCTCCAGGCTCTGAGCTGTCAGCACAGAGCCCGACGCGGGGCTAGAACTCACGGAACGCGAGATCATGACCTGAGCCGAAGTCGGACGCTTAACCGACCTGAGCCACCCAGGCGCCCCCCGGTGGTATTTTCCATAGCCGCCAACCTTACCGGGCATAGCGTTCGGGCTGTGAATCAGCATCGGCCTTCAAGGCAGGTTCTTGTTGGTGCAAATTAGCTATGCCTGGTTTGTTATACCTGACCGCATGGCGGCTTCCAACTTTCTTCTCCTGAAGCTTATAGGAAATAATTGTTGTTCTGTTTACCGATTGGGGGAGGGGGAGTGGCAGCTGTTTTGTGGACAGACTGAATGCTTCCAAGTAAATACGATCTGTTATTAGGGTTTTTTAAACCTAGCTTTACGGAGCATTATAGTAAGGAGGAAACAATGTTTATGAACGCCTTTTGTAAAGAATGAAAATCTATTTAAGCGTGAAGGAACGTTATTATGAAACAGTCTGTGTAGAGGACATGCCAAGTGAGGGATTCGTTCATTCACTCACTCATTCATTCATTCGACAAATATTTGTGAGTGCATGGCACCACTCAGCAAAATAGGGGCGCCTGGGTGGCTCAGTCGGTTAAGTGTCCGACTTCGGCTCAGGTCATGATCTCATGCTCCATGAGTCCGAGCCCCTGCGAGGCGCCGGGAAGTGACCCTGCGACACCACCCCCCCTCAGAGCCAGGGGGTGGCAGCCGGAGAGGCCAGGAGGCCAGAGCCTCCCCTCTCCCTATGCAGCTGAGAAGGTAGAGAGTGGGAGGCAGCAGGTGCACAGATAGCGGAACGTTAAAAATAGAAGAAACCACTGGAGTCAGAAGTTAGAATTTGGTGACGGGTTGGGTGTGGGACAGAAGAGAAGGGTCAAGGTGTCTGGCGTAAGCAGCGGGAGAACCGGGGCCTCATCCTGAGTGGGTTGCTCACGGGGAGGTTTTGGACATCACTGGAGAAGCATGTTAAGACACCCAAGCCAAAACGCTGAGCAAGCAGTCGGATATGGCTCGCTCTCCTTTGGGCCCCAGGACAGGAATTCCTTACCTTCCAGTGCGCCCAGGAGCCCTACACGGCCCAGCGAAGTCCACGGGCACCGCTATCGGGCGAGCTATCCCGGAAGTCACGGGAGAGGAAGCCACACAGACCAAAGTAAGACGCTTGAGCTACAGGGTTCCTTGAATCAACTTGAAACGCCTGATTTAACCTTCCTGCAGAAAGAGCCTCAAGACCGGGTAGATCACACACACAGAGTCCATCAAGGCAGGCGAGCACGCCATCTGAACCTGGGTCGTGCAGTGTGGGTATGTTTCTCTTCCCGCTGCATCAGCCAGCCAGGCAGTGGGGTTACGAATCCCGGGGCTGAGAATGCTCAAAGCCCCTCCACGGAGAGCCTGGAGCCCACTCACAGAGACACGGACAAGCGCGGCGGGTCACAAGTAGCCTGCTGAACAGACAAGCGTTTTACCTGCAATTCTTGGGCAGCGCCGATGGGGCCACAACGGGAGCATGTGAGCACCAAGGGGCGAACCCGGAAGTGGAACGATCACGTCTTTCGATTTGGTTACTCTCTAATTATTTGATTTGTTCCATCGCAGAGCCCAATTATTCTATTTACCTTCGCCATACCTAAGATTCTTCCCTATGCCTCGCAACCTACCTGCCTGCTCAACATCAAGTATCTTAAGCTGCTAGCTTGCTTCTTCTCCATGCGGACCACGCTTCATGAGTTTCATCGGTCCTGTTCATTTCTCGCGTCCGCCCTAGCAGAACTGAGTATTCTCAGATACAGCACGTAGGACTACAACGTTTTATTTTTATTATTTATGTTTTTAAAGTAGGCTCCACGCCCACGTGGGGCTCGAACTCACGACCCTGAGGTCAAGCGTCCCACGCTTTTCCAATCCAGCCAGCCAGGTGCCCCAGCTACTGTGATGTTTTATATGGCTACAATAAAATGCATAGGATTATAAATAAAATAAAATGAAATTAAAATATAAAATAAGATAAAATACAAAGTAAAAATAAAATCACAAAATAGGATTGAAACAGAAACGTAAAAACAGTTCTATAACAGCAGGTCCTCTAATGACGGCAACTTCGAGGGGCGAGGAGCCTACCTGCCAGGTGCGCGAAAACACCTGCGAGGTGAATCCGTGCACCCGATTCGCGATGCGGTGCCGGCGCCGGTCCGCTTGGGCCCCGGCGCTCGGGGACAGTCCCCAGGGCACTGGGGAGCTCTTACTAGCAGGGGCACCCGGGCAGAGCTCGCGGCGGAAGCAGGCCAGCCC